GTTCCTTTCTTATACAAGATGGCAGCAAACACATTGGACATGAAGCAACTCCAATGTCAATGAAGAGCTGGGCCCAATAAGCCAAATTCATGGAGTCCTCTTAAGGCTGCCAAGATCACCCAATGACGCAACTCTTCCAAGGTCTCCTTCCTGCTTAAGACGAGAGCACGGATGGCTCAAATTCTGCCTTCCGCTTCTCTACAGATTTGCAAGGCAAATGCAATTAGTTTTCTGTTCTTGTCTGCCTTCCCCCGCCCCCCACAACCCTCATGTACAAATTGTGCACACTGCCTGCAGAACTCAATGTGAAAGACAGCAACCTCTCCATAATGTGACACTCGATGACAATCCAGTTCTTCTGGAAGGAGGCAGAACAAGCAACCTTAGAATAGAATAGAATAGAACAGAATAGAATTAGAGTAAAGTAGAGTAGAATAGAGTAGAGTAGAATAACAGAGTTGAAAGGGACCTTGGAGGTCTTCTAGTCCAATCCCCTGCTAAGGCAGGAAACCCAATACCATTTCAGACAAATGGTTATCCAACATCTTCTTAAAAACTTCCAGTGTTGGGGCATTCACAACTTCTGAAGGCAACTTGTTCCACTGACTGATTGTTCTAACTGTCAGGAAATTTCTCAGTTCTAAATTGCTTCTCTCCTTGATTAGTTTCCACCCATTGCTTCTTGTCCTGTCCTCAGCTGCTTTGGAGAATAGCTTGACTCCCTCTTCTTTGGGGCAGCCCCTGAGATATTGGAACACTGCTATCATGTCACCCCTAGTCCTCCTTTTCATTAAACTAGACATACCCAGTTCCTGCAACCGTTCTTCCTATGTTTTAGCCTCCAGTCCCCTAATTGTCTTTGTTGCTCTTCTCTGCACTCTTTCTAGAGCCTCACCATCTTTTTTACATCATGGTGACCAAAACTGAATGCAGGATCCCAAGTGTGGCCTTACCAAGGCCTTATAAAGTGGTATTAACCCTTCACGTGATCTTGATTCTATCCCTCTGTTGATGCAACCTAGAACTGTGTTGCCTTTCTTGGCACCTGCTGCACACAGCTGGCTCCTATTTAAATGGTTGTCCAGATCTCCAAGATCCTTCTCACAGTTACTACTATTGAGCAAGGTACCACCTATACTGTACCTGTGCATTTTGTTTTCCTTGCCTAAATGTAGAACCTTACTTTTTTTCACCCTAAAACTTTCTTGCAGAGCTTATCCAAATGGGAGAATGAGCAAGATACCCAATTCAGGTCAGTCTGATGTCACGTCCCCCCTCAGCAGGCAAAGGAAGACTCCTCGCCCCCCAAGAATACTTTGCTCAAACATCCTTGGCCCAAAGGTGCTTTGGCAACTGGACTTCCTTGTTTTTTTTTTCTTTGAAGACATTTCGGTTCTCATCCAATAAGTTTCTTCAGCTCTGACAGGATAGTGGGGTGTTGTGGCCCAGCAGGAGCCGTTGGAGCTGCTGACAGACTCCAATAGCAAGGGGCCCTATGAGTCGGCTCTGGAAGATGTGGAGGACCTGGACAGGGTTCAGACTCCGAGCAGGGACCAGAGAGGCTTGTTGGCCACCAGGAGGTGCCTGAGGCATGGAGCAGCGGTGAAAGCCAAAGGGAGTTTGTCCCTGACATCAGGCCCTGGAGCACTGGTGAAGACGTCAGGCCCTGGAGCAGTGGGGAGAAGCTAAGGGAGTTGGTCCCAGACGTCAGGCAGAGATGGGCAGATAAGCATGGGCAGCAATTACGGAGACATAGAAGATAATCGGGCCCAGGTGGTTGTGATTAGGCTCCTCCCAAGAGAGTATATAAGAAGAGACTTTGAGAGGAGACCTTTTGCAGGACACAACCGTTATACTAAAGCTGGAGAAGCTCTTGTGTGTATTTCTTATCTGTGGAAGTCTGGGTTGCTGCCAAAGTCTTGTCTGTGAGTTAATTACTGTGAATAAATTGGCTAACAGCCACATTGTGTCAGCTTGACTCACCGTATGGAGGGGGGGGGGTTCAGAACAGTTGGGAATGGAAGGATTTATACTCCTTGCAGATAGCTGGTCATTTGCATCCCTTTAGAGGGTGGTTGAAGCACTTGGAGGTTTATCTGTGTCCTCACGGTCTCCTGAGTGGTGCAAATGGTTCCTGTAGTCTGCACTTTTCCCTCTGGAAATCCCATTCCTACTCCCACAGCATTCATAGCAAGAAAAGGATCTTCACAGCCTAGACAGGGTTGATCTAGAAAATCCAGGAGTCTGCAAGACACACGTGTCTCCAGGTGACCTACCGGATCTCTGTCACTTCCTCTGTCCTTGACAATGTTCTTCCCTTTTCCTATTCTAATTCTGAGCCACGGTGGGGCAGTGGTTAGAGTGCAGTACTGCAGGCTACTTCTGCTGACTGCCGGCTGCCTGCAATTTGACTGTTCGAATCTCCCCAGGCTCAAGGTTGACTCAGCCTTCCGTCCTTCTGAAGTTGGTAAAATGAGGAACCAGATTGTTGGGGGCAATAGGGCTGACTCTGTAAACCGCTTAGAGAGGGCTGTAAAAGCACTGTGAAGCGGTATATAAGTTTAAATGCTATTGCTAATGCTCTTCGGATGCCTTCGATTTCAGCCTGCCCCTGAACTTCAAGGGCTGAAGTCCAGAACATCCGAGGAGCACCAAGACGGAGGAGACTGCTCCAGAAACCCTTCTGCTTTCATATCCAGTCCTCTGTAACCTGTTTTGGGTTCTGCAGCTCATGCACAACACAGTCTTCAACAAGTCAATGCAGGAAGATAGTTCCCTTGAAGCCAGGAAGTCTGAAAAGCCACAGAATCACAGTTATGTTTCAGCACCCCTACACGCCTTGCCCGTGGCTCTCTTCTAAAGCCACCAAAGTTTCTCTTTTTCAGCTCTCATTTCTTTCCCCTGATCTTTTTCAGTCTCTGTCTCCTTCCACCCACAGGTGAATAAACTATGACCTGGCAGCTTCAATCTCCAGTCTCCTCAGTATCTATACTGTATATGCAAATCCTCTGGTCACCCAACCGTTAAGAGAATCGGCGCTGTGGATTTCCAAACATTTAAATGAAAAAAGCAACCTGATGGGTTTCTGGAAATATACCAGGTTTTGAAGCAATGTAGTGGAGGGTCCTTGGTGCTCTCTGAACTTGGTTGTTTCCTTACAGACATTTCATTACCCAGCTAGATAACATCATCAGTGCTGGAGCACCCACCATCACATCTTTCAACAGCTTTCTTGATTCTCATGGGTCAATATACTTTCCCCAGCCTGGGCTTATATGACGAATGGGGAATGGAAGAAGACAGTATAACAACTTGCAGCAAACTAGTGGTTAGAGTGCAGTATTGCAAGCTATTTCAACTAACTGCCAGCTGCAGTTAGGCAGTTCAAATCCCATCAGGCTCAAGGTTGACTCAGCCTTCCATCCTTCCGAGGTGCGTAAGATGAAGACCCAGATTGTTGGGGGCAAGAGGCTGACTCTGTAAACCACTTAGAGAGGGCTGTAAAAGCACTATGAAGCGGTTTAGAAGTCTAAGTGCTATTGCTATTAATCTGAGGCGTTTCATTGCTCATCCAAGCAACTTCATCGTTCAGAGTAAAAACAGGTTGCAACTCTTTTTGGGGAGAAATCCTTGAAGCTGGTGTGGCAAGAGTTGATACATTCCAACCACTCTCTGATTCTCTGCCTATTTAATTATTTTACTCTGACTAATGGAGTTGCTTGGATGAGCAATGAAACGCCTCAGATTAACACAGTTTGGCCCAGTTGCCATGATTCAACCTTCAGACACCTTTGGCTTGGGTGATTTTGCGTCTTCATTGACATACAAACTTACAGCAATGTTAGGAACAACCTGAAGCTAAGATTTAAGCAGTTAACAGAGTTGGAGGGGACCTTGTAGGCATCTAGTCCAACCCCCCCCCACACCCAAGGAGGAGACCCTACACCATTTCTGACAAATGGCAGTCCTGTCTCTTCTTGAAAGTCTGCAGCGATGAAGCTCCCACAACTTCTGAAGGCAACTTCCATTCCATGGATTGATTGCTCTCACTGTTAGAAAATTTCTCCTTATTTCCAGGTTGAATCTCTCCTTGGTCAGTTTCCATCCATTATTTCTTGTCTGGCCTTCGGGTGTTTTGGAAAATAGGTTGACCCCCTCCTCTCTGTAGCAGCCCCTCAAATATTGGAAGACTGCTGTCATGTCTCCCCTGGTCATTCTCTTCACTAGACTAGCCATGTCCAGTTCCTGCAAGCATTCTTCATTATGTTTGAGCCTCCAGTCCCTTAATTATCTTTGTTGCTCTTCTCTGCACTTTTTCTAGAGTCTCAACAACTTTTTTATAGTGTGGTGACCAAAACTGGATGCAGTATTCTAGGTGTAGTCTTACTAAGGCTTTATAGAATGCTATTAGTACCTCATGTGACCTTGAATGTACTCCTGTTAATGCAATTTAGGATTACATTGGCTGCAACTGCAACTGACCTCATCAAAGATCTTATTCTTTCCTCGGCCGATGCCATCATTGAGCGCTTTCATCCATAATTCCTTTTCTTCTGGGGACGATGCCTGGAATTTGATATCTTGCACCTGAGCAGGAAAAAAACAGGAAGAGAGCTTGCCTGAAAGCAATTCACATTTCACTACAAAAAAAGAATATTAATTCCTTGCAATACCAGCTGGTGCTATCCAGTTTCCACCAGGAAAAGATTTTCTTATCAGAGCTAGAGAATGGTCCAGAAATGGCCCATATGCAAGATAATGGACATGGTTTGATTCACCTTCCTATCTGTGAAACTGTGAAAATATCTACAGACCCCTCACATCCTGGATATAATTTTTTTCAACTTCTACCCTCAAAACGACGCTATAGGGCACTGCAACCAATACAACTAGACACAAGGACAGTTTTTCCCATCACTTTGTTAAACAACTAATTCC